ACTAGAACAAGGTCCTCTGTGCTGTTTCCCCACGGGTCCCCGGGTCCTGCAGCCCAGCCCGGGTCCGCTTAGGTACCAGCAGAGACACGGAGAGCTACTCAGCAGAGGCCAGGAAAGTGTGAGTCCCCGGCCACCAAGGTCCACAGGGACAATGTAGCAAACTATTTCGATAACTATCTGAAAATGCACTGACTCCGACTCCGATGATGCGACCACGGATACCTTTTCCACAAAGCCCCTCAGGTGCAGTTTCCGGCCTTGGTCACAGCGCATCTCTGGGGGCAGGGCCCTTCTCGGTCTAGAGGATGGAATTACGGTTCTTTTTTCATCTCCAGGTTCACGAACATGATACACACTTACATATGGACATACGAGCATCAGGGAATCTGCTGTTAGTTAAGCTGGGGTGACTGTGTTTTAAGATCAAGTCCGCATTCAACTACTTATCGAGAAACTACAGTGGGGCCAGAACTGAGCCATGCTATACGTGTGCTGTGTTTTTGTATTTACATACTTCATTTCATCCACACAACTCTTTGGGTCACACAACCAGCTAACTCACGACATGGTAAAAACAGAAAAAGACAACCCCTAGTGTTGGCATAGACACCTTTCAGTTTTCATGTCTTATTCAATGGTATGGCGCTAGATCGCTATTCACAGAATATGAAGACACTAGTTCATTTAAAATACAAATATCTTCTCAGTTCCAAGTTTATTTTTGTCGCAGGTTTGGGATAAATAAAACCTTTGCTGTGATACGAGAACTACCATTATGTTTTATGGTAAAATTGAACTGTTTCATATTTAAATATTTGAGAACATTAGATGTGCTAAAACCCAAACTGAAAATAGGGACTGAATAACTCTGTGAAAGGGTAGCCATGGCTCCCAAGGCCATTTTAGACTTAAAAAAATATTATACTCATAAGTTTTGTGAAGTAGGGTACCGTGAAAGTGTGATAAACAGATTCTTAGTGGCTTTAGTCAAAGAAATAATCACAGTGGCAAAGTGTCTTAAATAAGTTCATTCTTTTCTACTATTAACACATTTCTAGATGAAATTACCAAATTTTATTACATTTAAATAAAAAACGTTACATTAAGAAAAATTTTGGGAATGAACAAAGGAAATGGTAGCGAATCTATCCTGGGAAAAGTATTTTATAATGGAATAGATACAGATATGGTAAACAATCTACATAAGGAAACTGGTCAAGATACACCATGTAAACTCACTGTATATAGTTTAGAGATGTCTCCTTTAACTTCAGTTGTACCCCCATAAATGAGTCTGTTACTAAATAAATAAATAATCATTTTCAAACTTCAGTTTACACTCTGTTGCTTCTTTTCAGCTGTATCTCAAATAATATTTAAATTTCGTAATTGAATCAGCTGCTTAAATAACATTCCACAGAACTGAATTTGGGCAATCAAAAAGGGAGATTTCTGCATAACATTACAACAGAATATAACGCGTTGAGTTAAATATTGCTTGTTTGTCTCATGAATCCCTAGCCTGCTGTGTGCATTGTTTTCGTGCCCAATTAGAACACTCGTATTAACGCATGTAACCCACGCTACTGCTCCCGGCATGTCTGCGGATTTGCTAAACTTGTCAAAATCATTAAAGGTGTCCATGTTATACCGTTTCAAACAGCGATATTGATCATATTTTAAAAGTATAGTAGATGACAGCATAGTTATAGAAGTACTTCTGAATGACCATTTTCAGCAGAATGTGACAAAAAACAGCAAACAGGTTTTCAGTATTTTAGTGCAACAAATAGACACAAATGTTTGAAATGATATAGAAAATACAGGGTACAAGCAATTGCAACACAACCAAAAATACAGTAACAATTATAATTAGAGAAAATAGACAGGTTTCTTAAATTTCCGTGAGAAATTTCAAAAGATGCCTTTTGGGGGCACAAAGGCCATAAATTATTATTTAAACAGGATAAATATTAAGATAAGTCGGAAAACAGATAACTACTTTTTAAAGTGTATTTTACTAGAACATTGATTTGAAATGAAGAGTAAGTTTACCTTTCTCCAGAAAAAGATAAAAAGAAACATGTTACATGCATATTTGTAAACAACACGTCTAAAAAAACCCAACTTTTGGTAGGTACAGAAAGGAATGATGCCACCTTAACGGGGGAAAAAGGTAAAACATCCCGTAAGACCATGGACGTTAAGGGCAATCCAGAGACTAATGATCCACCGTGACAAAATTGAAGTCATTTGTGATAACTATACAGCGACATTTACTAAAAAGATACATGAAGTGAGGGAAAGGTTTTTGGTTCTTGTTTTTCCTAATTCTCTGGTTTAAAGGGCGGGAGGAGTAACCAAACAACCGATCGGGATCAACAGGATTTCTGAGTGACTCTTACCGGCACCACGATGCTGTAGTGGATGCAGAACCCTGGTTCCGAAGGGAAATACTCGTCAGATACAAATCTTATCCTGATTTGATTTCCTTTAGAAATCTGTTTTCCAGGCACACTGCCAGAACCGCACCAGCGCCCTAATACACTCCCATCACTTGGCTCCTCCACTTCCACAAAATCGTACCTGCAAGAGACGAAGACAAAAGAGACATAAAGCCACGATTTCAGCGATTCATGTTCCACGTCCACGGACGGCGCCATGGATCCATCTAGGGACTGCGGCTGGGGGTTCACCCCAAATTCAGAGTCAGAGACTCCAAAGAAGAGACACACTGAAAATGCATTCACAAGCAAAGAACCACGAGCTTTCTATTTTCCATATGGATTTGCAGTTTTGCTCCAATCCCTTTTTTTTTTCATTTCAGTTATTGTGCTTTTCAGCCCCAGAATTTCTTTTTGGTTTCTTTTTATGTGTTCCATCTCTTTATTGATATTTCCATTTTGTTTATACAACGTATTCTTGAGCATCTTTTTCATTTGTATGTGTGTGGGGGGAGGTAATTAGGTTTGTTTATCTATATTATTTTTTTCACAGAGCTGCTGAGACCAGGACCTCATGTGTGCTAAGCACACACTTTACCACTGGGCTATGCCCGCCCCCTGCTCCAATCTTAATTCTCATTATCACTGCCTATGACCTCCGACAGTACCTTCCGCACCTGGTCAGACTCTGGTTCACCTTCCTCATCTGTGTTCCAAGCCTGTCTAGGGCCACCTGTTACAGACACAGTCTCCAAGTCTCCCTCTGTCCTATGCAGAGACTCTGTGAGTGAGACCCTCCTGGGTGCCCTCAGCCCGGCGCCGCCATCTTTCTTTTTTGATAAACACACATCTTTAATATTAACCACATCTCTGCAAGTGGTCCAACTTGGTTGCTAGGCTGCCAAGCCCTGGAAGAAACGAGCCAGTTCCTACATTCTTCTGTTTTACACCGTGCTACACTCAGTATCTTAAACCCAAGGATTGAGTGACACTATTTTGCTAGCAAGTGTTAACTTGGGTTTGAAAGTTTCCAGCAGTGGCACTCATGGAGAGCAGTGCTGCCCCTGAAGAGAACATTTCAGACACATGTCAAGGCATTTTGGGTTGTGCCAGTGGCTGGGGATGGAAGGGCCAGGCCAACAGACATCCAACAATAGCAAGTCCCGAAAACGGGTGTCTGGCCCCGTGGCCTCCAGGCCTTTCCAACAGCTCTCTGGACATTCATGTAAGTGACATGGCTGCTCTTCACTGGAGTCTGGAACCTAATACTGTCTCACCTAGAAACACAAAGACGTTTTGCGGGTTTAGTTTAAGCCAATCTTTCTAGAAATTCAACTGTCAAATAAATAGAAGGAAGTTTCTATACTTGGGAACCTTACCAAGAGTTACGATTTTGGAAAATCACATGACTTCCTGGAACACTGCTTACGCTATTTGCATCAAATGAAAACAATTAAACATTTCCATATTAGTCTATTTCTACAGCTGTCATACTCACAATGAGTCTGCTACTTAAGGGACATAAACATCTTACTTGTAACTGTGCATGTGTATTTATGTACTTAACTACATTATTTTGCTATCAATTACTGTTATTATTTCAGCTTTCCATAGCATTTAAGCCATTATATTTGTTTTTTAAACAGCTGCACATATAAATAGATGATCACTGTTATGAGCTGCATTTCAGAATACTACAGAGGACATTGCAAAACTTTTCTTAAGGGAGGTCTGACACGGATGAAAACCACTGGTTGATTTCTTCAGAAGTCTAAATTCAGTAGATACTGGACAACTAAAAGTAATACATATTGGGCAGCTGTGAATTTACAGAAGAAAAAAAAACTGTTGAAAAAGGACAAGGTAGCACAGGGAACTATGTGCAATAGCTTATAATAACCTTTACTGGAAAAAATGTGAAAAGGAATATATGTATGTATGTGCATGACTGGGACAATGTGTTATACACCAGAAATTGACACATTGTAACTGATGGTACTTCCATTAAAAAAAAAAGAAAAAAAAAAGGACACAGTGTATAACAAACCAATGTCCTAAAGAATTAACCAGAGCACTCTCATGGCATACAGTGCCTGTTTCAGTCTCATTTTCCTTTCTTAAATTGAGGCTAATGCGACCTAGTGTACAGGGGTGTTTCAAGAAAGGTACCTGGGACAGCGGTACCACCTGTCAGTGGCCACTCGGTGAAGTCTGTCCCTCATCTCTGCCCTGCATCCCCTGCCCCCAGCCACACCTACCTTTCAATATACCCTTGGGAGTTGAAAGGAATAAATAAGAAAACTCAGGTACAAAAGGAAGAGAGTGTTCCTGCTCCATCATGTGACAAGTCCGGGTCACAAATGACGAAAGCACACGCCAGTCGGTATAACCATTCTGGGCGTTCTGCTGGATGTGTGAGGGGGGACCCGGCAGAGGTGGGGGCGGGGTGAGGGGAGGGGGCGAAGCAGACCGAGTGGTTATTTCAGATGCACCTGGTACAAGAGTTACAGATAGAATCTCATATCAAAGAGTGATTTTTAGATCACGATGGTTTCCACGTGGAACAAAGCTTCCGTCAAAGTACCTATTTGTTCTGTGCTGGGAGGTAACCTGTGGGATACAGGCCACCACCACGACCAGCTGGAGGACAACCTGGTCAATCATTCCATGAGGACACAGGAAGCACTGCCTTGGTATTAAGTGCTGTGTGATATGTCTCAGGATGAAACCACAGCTCTATGGGCTCAGGGTTCCTAAAACACTGCAGGGAGAGCTCACATGCGAGGATGCAGGGAACCGTGTGGGACACTGGCGGGTGAGGGTGATTCCACAAGGTGGGACTCAGGTCAGCTCATGGAGGGACACGGGGGCTGTCACTGAGGACTGCCTGACTGCGGTTGGGCAGGGGAAATGGAAATACATTCCAGCCGGAAAGACAACACTTACAGTGCAACAGAAG